AAAAAAACTATCCAGTAGTTTTTGTCAGGCCCTAGCCTATCTACCATGAAAATATGAGCGAAATCGAATTTTCGACCCTTGCCGAGTTATTTTCCATTTTTATGGAGAGGGACTCTTAAGCACTTATTCTATTTTATTTGCATCTAGCGTTAATTCTCTGATACCCCCGGTCCCCCAATCCAATGTTGTGTAGGCGCCGTGGTCTGTGCAGTCTAAGACTGATAGAAAAAACAACATTGTTTGGGGGAAAGGGGGAAAATGTTTCCCAGACGCTCGAAAATCGAATTTTACTGCCAAGTGCCTCAACACTTTTGTCGCCCATTGTAGGTTGGAGGACCTTTGAGATTTCCCCTTAAAGACCTAACGTTGGAGGCAACAGATTATGCGATCATAATGTTCGAGATAAATATGTTGTTCGAGATAAATAAGTTCTTTATTATATGGCTTATAAAATGATTTTTTTTAAATTACCATTTGCTTTGTTTTTGCAGACCCGTAATCGACCCGCAGGCATTGCGGGAGAATAATGCCCTAGAACTAACCAATCAGAGTGCGTGTTATATCGGCTACAATCACAATAAATAATAAATCTACATGACGGCTTTTTCAAAACAGGTCAAGGAATAAATTTCATTTTATTTAAATTTGTACATAGCTTTTTATTACAGTTGTCAAACTGCATTGAGCGAATGTTTGAGGTCACAAAAGTTTTGTGTATGTTTGCTAAACATGTCAGGGAACTGATTGAAAAGAAACGATAAAGTGCGTCGTGCAACCACAATGGGATTAACTACATGGGCGCCACTGATCTCAGGCCAGTGTTGTTCTTTCGATTTTTTTAAACTCGCAATTGTTTTCTACTAGGACGAAGCCACGTGTTCATAGTAGTGTCAGGATTGTTTTGGTATGGCCTTGTATCAAAACCGAACAACCTGTTCGTAGGTATGGGCTTTCAGAATCCGAATCCATAGAGAGGAAACTACTTTCTTGTACAGTAGTTAAGTCATAAAACAGAGTCGACTCCAAATTGAGTCATATGTTGGGGTATCGTCTACATCTGAAACAGACAAAACAATGCGACAGTTATAAAGAGCAAAGCAGTTGTTACTTAAATGAAAAGCTTTTATATGACGACCAACTTCTGGTCCCGTTTTTCCTTGCAAATTTCCTTGTACATGTTGAATGAAAAGATATTCGTGTTATTGATATCTCAGCCACTGAAAGGCAAAACTGTTTATTACATTTGTTATCGCTAGAGTTCCGAGTTCTCTAGTTCCCGTATAGAGCTGCCATAGATCAGGAACCGTGGTTTACCGGTACAATAGAACATAGGTTTAGCAACTCTATTGACCAATCAGAGCGTGGGTAGTATCCCAGTTATTTTATAAAGAAAATAAAGCCCCTAGCAATGGTAAAAAAAGACAGCTAAATTACTCTATTGAAATATTCTTGAGAAAATGATTGATGATACATCAAAGAATGCGTGAAAAAGGGCTTTAACCACGTTTTAATTCCCTACTGGTCTTATGAAGTATCCAGAAAACATAACACGTTGTCGTATCTTCAGAAGTGTAATAAAATACAGCAGCATTAAACTTATGGTCGGTTTTAAATTTACAGAGCATCGACGGACTGACTAGCCGAACACGTGAAATTTTGCTCTTCTATTGTACTTGCCTTGTTCATTGCCACACACTCGTAAAAACCCGGTTGAATTCAGGTTTATATCAAGTGGTGAAAGATGGAGTTTTATCATTTCTTACCTAATGATGCTAAAAATTTAAGCCACCACTACTTCGTCGGCGGTTAGGTTCTTTTTGGGTTCTACTATCTTCTTTTCAACGCCTTGCTTTTTAATTGTGAGTGGTCCTTCTGTTCCTGGCCATGGGTGTTGGATAACGTAAGCTTGCCCTCCCTGTGGCGAATCAGCTTGCGGGGTCATGCCAGCAGCAGCTTCTGCATTAAATAACAAGAAAAATCGAAAAAGAAATTAAAATAAGAGACTGATTATGACAATTATAGTCTACCCGAAAACCATTTTGTTGATATTTAGAACAGAGTTAACAACGATTCCAGGAAAACTCGCATTTAAACCATAAAACATGATATTACAACTTAAGGACGTTCGCGCGAAAATGTTCCACGCGTTACATTTTCTTCAAACTTCTACTGCTGACATATAATGAATTACTTGTTTCAGAAATGAAAAAATTTGGGGGTCACGGCCTTCGGTTCAGAGATAAAGCGTGTGTAAAACTAGTCTGATTTTGAAAAATTGGCGTGCGTAAATCAGTATGGTCTCCAGGGTTTTAATAAAATATCAAAGATGAATCAATGGAGACAAACTAGCCTTGTACTATTTCTATAGCTGAATCCGTTGCGCGCGTTGATTTTTACAACGTCTTCACAAAACGTAACCCTTCAAGAGGCATTTGAAACCGCCGCAGAGATAAACGAAGAGCTAAAAAGAACGGAACTCGATGGTGCATTTTGCAAAAATTTCAAACTTCTAATCGATAGATTTTTTTCAGTTTTTCGCTAAACGTCGAAAATCGGTAGAGAAAATGATCCATCAAAAGAAAAACTGGGGTCACTTAACGTCCAAGATCCTTAAGCCTGGGCAAAGCTATAGCAATGGCCATCTGCCCTATCATTGTTCATTTTATTGCTTAGCGCGCGCTCGACTCATGACGTGGCGTGTGAATTTGCGAGCGCGGTAAGGATGCGCAGAAACAATTAGCGCGAACGTCCTTAAAGTTCTTAAATGGACCGTCCCATGATTTTTTCTTTAACTATTTAAAGGAATTGCTAGGGATGTACTACTGTTTATGGCAATACTTCTGATTCCCTAACAACTTACCAGGGGCGGGAGCTGCCGGCATAGGGTTGGAGCCACCGGCAGGAGCCGCCGGCATAGGGGCAGCAGCCTGCCCAGCGGGTTGAGCAGCAGGGGCCGCGGGCATTGGAGAAGCTGGTTGAGCAGGTTGCTGTGCAGGTTGCGCAGGCTGTACGGCAGGCTGAACTGGAGGCTGTGGTTGAGGAATACCTTGTCCATAAAACGGTTGAGGTTGCCCATAAGGTTGCTGTTGTGCGTACGGATATTGCTGACCATAAGGAGATTGTTGAGCATAAGGAGGTTGCTGACCATAGGGAGGCTGCTGTCCGAATGGATATTGCTGACCGTAAGGTGGTTGTTGCCCGTACGGTGGCTGTCCATAAGGCGGTCTCTGTGCATAAGGTTGGTAAGGCTGGTAAGGCCGCCTGGGTGGAGGAGGATGAACAGGAGGAGGTGGCTTCGTTGGTGGTTTTTCTTCCTTTTCCTCTTCTCCCTTTTCTTCATTTTCTTCTTCTTTTCCTTCTTCTTCTTTTCCTTCTTCAGTTGGCTTTGCTGGTGGAGGGGGTGGAGGTGGTACTTCTGGAGCTGGTGGACCTCCGCAAGGCTGTTGGGGTGGTTGTGGCGGACAAGGAGGTTGCCCACAAGGTGGTGGGGGTGGGCACGGTGGAGCACAAGGATCCGTGGGACATGGCTG